ATAGTTGGATGATTTGGTAAAGTTAATTTGGGTCTTCTACAACTTTGTTTTGAAAATTTTTGTTCATCTATTTAGTGAGGTCTTTCCTCTTTGTTTATTTGTGATTATTTGGAATTCACCTAAGGGTGATTTGTGAGACCATTCGTGTCTCGTTTGTAATTATTTGGAAACTTATTTGGTTGATAGTGAAATCGGATTTCGATCCCGTGGACGTGCCTCACATTGAGGGAACCTCGTAAAAATTCTTGTGTTGCTTTTGATTTAATTTTTCCGCATTAGTTTTTATTCCCATTGATTGATTTACTTGTGGGGAATCATATATTTTCCCTAACAACTGGTATCAGAGCTTACGATTTATTTGGATTTATTTATTTGTGTAAATCAATGGAGGGGAATGATGGTCGTATGTTTAGCTTCAATGGAAGCAATTGGGTAACTTGAAAAACTAAAATGGAGGACCTATTATTTTGTAAAGATTTGAATGGGCCTATTGAGGGTGATAGTGGCAAACCTGATAATATGAAAGATGATGAATGGAAGAGGCTTAATCGAAAAGCCGTTGGTGTTATCCGTCAATGGATTGATGACAGTGTGTTTCATCATGTTGCTATTAAAACTTCGGCACATGATTTATGGAAAAAGTTAGAAGGCTTTTATGACAGGAAATCTGCCACAAATAAAGATTTTCTATTTCGTAAGTTGGTTAATTTCAAATATAAAGAGGGCAGTCCTATTCCAGAATATCTGAATGAAATAAAGAGTATTGTTAACTAACTTGCTTCTATGAAAATTGTTTTTGATGATGAGTTGCAGGATTTGATGCTACTTAGTTCTTTGCCCGAAAGTTGGGAGACTTTGGTTGTGACGGTTAGTAATTTGGCGCCCGATGTAGTTGTCACAATGAGCCAAGTCACTAGTAGCTTGTTGAATGAAGAAACTAGAAGAAAATCAACAGGTTCCTCTCATTCGGAAGCATTTGTTGTGAGAGGCCGAAGCAAAACAAGGGGGAGGAGTAAGACTCCCCATGGTCGTGATCAAAGTCGTGACACATCAAAAAATAGTTCTTTTTCAAAGAAAGACATTGAGTGCTATTATTTCCATAAGAAAGGGCACATGAAGTGAGAATGCCGAAAGCTCAAGAACAAGGAGAAAAGGCGTGACAAAAGTGTGGATAAGAAGTAAGAAGACACAACAGCAGTTACTACCAATGGTGATCTTATGGTCGTTTGTGAAGATGATTGTATCAATTTTGTGGGCCAAGAGAGCAATTGGGTGATTGATTCTGGTGCTTCTTTTCATGTGACTTCTTGAGTTGATTTCTTCACTACCTACACCAAAGGAGATTATGGTTCTGTTCAAATGGGTAATGAAGGTTTGTCCAAGATTATTGACATGGGTGATGTTTGCTTGGAAAAAAATTTGGGCTGTAAGTTGTTGCTTAAAGATGTGAGGCATGTTTCCGACATTCGCCTCAATTTGATCTCTACCGGGAAGCTAGATGATAAAGGCTTCAACAAAAAATTTGGTGATGGAATATGGAAGCTCACAAAGGGCTCTTTGGTGGTGGCTAAGTGCAAGAAGACTCATACACTTTATTCGATGAAAGGAAAAAATTGTAAAGGTGTTGTCAATGCACTTGAAGATGATACTTCTACTGAATTGTGGCACAAGCGACTTGGGCACATGAGTGAAAAGGGGCTGCAAGTTTTGTTCAAGCAAAAGCTTCTACCCAGTTTGAAAGGTACACATCTCAAAACTTGTGTTCATTGTTTGGCGGGTAAACAACGTAGAGTTTCTTTTCATAAAAATATTGCTTCTAGAAAGGAAAATGTTTTAGAGTTGATTCATTCGGATGTTTGTGGTTCTTTAAAAGTTAGAACACATAGTGGTGCACTTTATTTTGTTACTTTCATTGATGATTATTCAAAGAAAGTTTGGGCTAAAAACTAAAGATCAAGTTTTAGAAATATTTAAACATTTTTCAGGCAATGGTTGAAAGAGAAACAGGGTAGAAATTAAAGTGCATCCGATCAGACAATGGTGGTGAATACATTGGGCCATTTGATGAGTATTGTCGCAGCCAAGGTATTCGGCACCAAAAGATAGTTAAGAAGACTCCTCAACAAAATGGCGTTGCCGAGAGGATGAACCACACCATTGTGGAAAGAACAAGGTGTTTGCTTTCACAAGCTAAATTGCCAAGATCCGTTTGGGGTGAGGCAATGAAGACAGTGGTTGACGTAATCAATTAGTCTCTTTCTTATCCTTTGAATGGTGATGTTCCTGAGAGAGTTTGGATCGGCAAAGATGTATCTTATGAGCACTTGAGAGTGTTTGGTTGTCGAGCCTTTATTCACATTCCAAAGGATGAGAGGTCCAAGCTTGATAGTAAGTCAAGACAATGTATTTTCTTAGCTATGGGCGTGATGAATTCGCGTATAGATTGTGGGATCCAATCGACAAGAAAGTCATTTGAAGTCGTGATGTTGTGTTTCTTGAAGACCAAACAATTGAAGACTTTGGCAAAGGTGATCAATCGGAGTCAAAATCTAGTGATCTCATTGACATGGATCCATCTCCTTCATCTTCAGTTGACGAGGAAAATGGGGGAGATGTACAGCCACCCATTGAAGATGTAGAGGATGATGTTAATCCTAATGAAGTTGAGCTAGAAATTGAGGAAGATCATCCAACTCAAGAACTGCCACTACAACTTGAGTTGAGGAAATCTACAAGGGACTGGCAACCTTCGAGAAAGTATCCTCCCAATGAGTTTGTGTTGATTTCCGATCAAGGGGAGCCTGAGAGCTACCAAGAAGCAATTGAGCACGCAAAGAAAGATGATTGAAAAAAGGCAATGAAAGAGGAGATGAATTCCTTACTTGAAAATCACACTTATGATTTAGTGAAGTTGCCTAAGGGAAGGAAAATTTTGAAAAATAAGTGGGTTTTCAAATTGAAGAATGATAGGAAGAATCTGAGGTACAAAGCACGTCTTGTTGTGAAAGGCTTTAGGCAAAAGAAAGGTATTAACTTTGATGAGATTTTCTCGCCGGTTGTGAAGATATCTTCTATTCGGGTTGTACTTCGCATGGCTGCAAGTATGAACCTTGAAGTTGAACAACTTGATGTGAAGACTGCATTTCTTCATGGTGACCTTGAAGCAGAAATTTACATGGAACAACCGGAAGGTTTTGTGGAAAAAGGGAAAGAGAAATTTGTTTGCAAATTAAAGAAAAGTTTGTATGGTCTCAAGCAAGCCCCGCGATAATGGTACAAAAAATTTGACTCTTTCATGATGAATAATGGTTTTTCTAAAACCACTTCGGACCATTGTGTGTTTGTGCAAAATTTCTCGGATGACAAATTTATTATTCTTTTGATTTATATTGATGACATGTTAATTGTGGGTCAAGATTCTACTATGATTAACAGTTTGAAATTAGAGTTGAGCAAGTCTTTTGCTATGAAAGATTTGGGATTGGCAAAGCAAATTCTTGGTATAAAAATTATTTGTGATCGCAAAGAGAGACTGATTTGGTTATTTCAAGAAAGCTACATTGAGAAAGTTCTTGAGAGATTCAACATGGATAAAGCAAAGTCGGTTGGTTGTCCACTTGCAGGTCACTTCAAGCTTAGTTCGAATCAATGTCCTACAAGTGACAAAGACAAAGAAGAGATGTTGAAAGTTCCTTATGCTTCAGCAGATGGTTTTTTGATGTACGCCACAGTTTGTACAAGACCGGATATTGCTCACGCCATTGGTGTGGTGAGTCGGTTTCTCTCTAATTCGGATAAAGAACATTGGGCAGTGGTAAAATGGATTCTAAGGTATCTTCGAGGGGCTTCGAAGGTGTGTTTGTGTTTTGGGGATGGTAAGCCGATGCTTGATGGGTTCACGGATTCTGACATGGCCGGTGATATTGATTCTAGGAAATCTACTTCGGGATATTTGATGACATTTGCAGGGGGAGCTGTGGCATGGCTATCTAAATTACAAAAATGTGTTGCTCTGTTAATTGCCGAAGCTGAATTTATTGCCATTACGGAAGCTTGCAAAGAAGAGTTATGGTTGAAGAAATTTTTGCAAGAATTGGGTTTGAAGCAAGAAAGGTATGTGTTTTATTGTGATAGTTAAAGTGCTATTCACTTGAGCAAAAATTCTACTTTTCATTCGAGATCAAAACACATTGATGTAAGATACCATTGGATTCGTGATGTGTTAGATTCGAAACTGTTACAACTCGAAAAGGTTCACACAGATGATAATATTTATGATATGTTGACTAAGGCTTTGTCGAGGGACAAACATTTAGAGTGTCAAACTTTGGCAGGTATGGTTTATATCTCCACCTAAGTCGGTAGGGGGAGAATTGTTGGGTATACCTCCTTATCGGAGTGTGGAGCTCAATTGGTTTATTAAAAGAGTTTAATTTGGTTTGGTATTAGCTATAATATATTTTTATATATTATATCTAATTTGTGGAGACCTAATTTAGTTTGGTAACAATTAGGGTTTTGATAACATAACCCAAGATTCAATAATATATATATATATATATTTGGTATTGTTTTTCCCAAGGAGAGGTGCTGTGCGGCTGTTACAAGGAAAACCAATTCGGCGGAATTAAATTCGAGTAGTGTGCTTCGGTTTCGGCTTCATAGTTGGATGATTTGGTGAAGTTAATTTGGGTCTTCTACAACTTTGTTTTGAAGATTTTTGTTCATCTATTTAGTGAGGTCTTTTCTCTTTGTTTATTGGTGATTATTTGAAATTCACCTAAGGGTGGTTTGTGAGACTATTCGTGTCTCGTTTGTAATTGTTTGGAGACTTATTTAGTCGATAGTGGAATCGGATTTCGATCCCGTGGATGTACCTCACATTGAGGGAACCACGTAAAAATTCTTGTGTTGTTTTTTATTTAATTTTTCCGCATTAGTTTTTATTCCTATTGATTGATTTACTTGTGGGGAATCATATATTTTCCCTAACATTGATTTGAGAATTATTATTTAACATAAACTTCAATCACATAAAGGAAATATTAAAAATCATAAATTGTTAATTTTATTAAAGCAGTAATTGAATTAATGACACTTGAATAATTTAAATAAAAGAATGGATCCGCAACTTGACCACCTACAGGCTACAGCTGTTCGGATCGAGTATCGCCAGTTAGCAAGTTAATTCTCTGTTTTTATCTATTTAGGTCTTTAATTACGGTTGTTTATTGAGTTGGCTTAGTATTTATTGATTTATTATTTTTATTATTTATGAATCTTTGACTCTTTTTGGTGATGGAAATCAAATCAGAGCTTGTGGTTGTTATGATGTTGTTGGCTAATCACTCGTTAATTTAGGCGTTTAATTTGGGCATGTGATTTCCTCTTGTTTGGACTCATGCTTTGTGTCGCTTTGCTGTTGTTTTTTGAAATTTTGGGGGGCGTAGTATTGCAGCTAGCTGATTAGGGGCTCAACTACCATTTTCATGTTTACTTGGAACCATTGGTATCCTTTTTCAATAGTCTCAATATGCTTGTTGACGTCATGTTTCCCTTTTTGGTTTATATTGTGTAGTGGACCTGATATTAGTTTTGGTTGATAAACCAGATATTACACATCCAACTCCAGATCTTACAGGCTATATTACTGAGGGATAGATATACATTGATAGGAAGCTCCACAATCGGCAGGTGATGGATAGGGAAGAAAACCAAACAATCAGTGAATTTTTTTTTTTTAACCATCCATTACTGCACTTTTTACCTTTTCATGATAGAGACTCCTCTAGAAGATTTTGTTGTTACTGCATCATTCTCAAATATCAATGCCAGACTGCCTTTTTTTTTAATATTTTTTTTATGTTGCTGGTGAGAGAGATGCTCTTAACATACTTGTTTATGCTAGACTAACATATTCTATTATTTTGTAGATTAAATGTTCTCTGAGCTTAATGCCTAAGTTATATATGGTCAGTGGTTTTTTATTTGCAAGGTGCAAAAAGTTGAATTTCTAATGAAGGAATGGAGATACTTCGTTCATTATCTTGTAAGCATTCTTTTTCCTAAATAATATTCCACAAAGTTGTGCCATGTTATAGTGTGTTGGTTGTGGAATTGACTTTTTCGTCCATTTATGTGTTTGTATTGCAGGGGTGGAACAAAAAGTGAGTACATCCTCTACATTATAGTACCTAATTTCATAGTAATTTTCAATAGTTGTACATAATATGTTGATTTTGTCAATTGGAACTCTGGTTTTATTTTTGCTTGAACTTCTGAATGTTTCTATATTTGAATACATATACAGTTCTATTAGAAGAGGGAGGGTGGGAGGTTTGCTTTTGGAGTTTCAATGGAGAAGAAGAGGTACTTCCCAATTTTAGCATGCCATACTGTACTGGGTATGGCTCTTTCTTTCTCTCAACTAGAGAGGGAAACGAAGAATCAATGAGGAGCTGTGGAAAGAATTCAAATCTTGGAGTCTGATCGTACGGAATACAATGCCAAAGTCGACCTCTTGATGCAGCAGATCAGTCGAAGAGGACCCTCTATTGATTCTTTTTCTTAGTAATTCATCTTTTGAGATCTACATTCGATTTCCTTTGTGGGTTTCTATACTAGTTTTATGAGTATGCACTTTGTTGAACATGAATTCATAGCTTAGCATCAATAATTGCAGATCAATAATTGCAGTTCACTAGTGGACCATTAAGCCTTAATTGTAAGTACTCTACATCTCTAAGGAAGCATAATTGAATAACTTTAGGAGGAAAAATTAAAATGGTTGATTATTCATAACTTTAGCCTAAAAAAGCTTTAACCACCAGTAATGTATTGTATGTATATGCAAATTTATTCCTCCGAAGTAGCTATAGTTAATTTTTTACCATTTCCTATGCTAATATACATGAATGTAATGTGCATTTGTTTTTTAATAAATGAGTTGTTAAAACTTTCACAATTAGTTGCCAACAAGCCATTTTTTATGCTGACATGTTTTTTTTCTTCCCATTGTTAGGATCCTGAAAACAAGAAGGTCATTATCTGTGATGAAAACCTGAAGAAAATTTTTGCAGGGCGAGACTGAGTTGGTTTCTTGAGATTGCGGGATTGATGAATCCACACTTTCTTAAGTGAGCCCTTGTAGGAGAATGGATTTTGATTTTCAAAGTCATTAATGAATCTGCTCTTTTGTAAATGAGGGATCTCAGTATTTTGTTGATGATACTACTTGTAGGATTTAGCGCAGTGCTCTTTATATGCGACGTTGTAGTTTTTTTTTTAAACTTCGTCCAGTTGTCTACGCATGAGCCTCGCTCTATTTTGGTTTTAACGAGTGTTTATGCTCAATTTGTGTTCTTGTTATATAGGCTACGGATCGGAATGCAATATTTGTAGTGACTGTCAATTGTTGGCTTATATATCATGTTAAGTTTTATAGGAATCTGATATTCACAAGTTATTGCTGTTCTCTATCCCCATGATATATGCAAGCAAAGGCGTCGTTTATGCAATGTTAAAAAAGTTTAATGCTTTACAAACACACAAAATAGTCAAGAATTGTCTGCGGATATTTTTTGTTTGGTTGTTGAGAAATCAAAACAGGAATATAAGTTAGTGTTCAAATTAGTATTTTTAGAGTAATTGTTATAAAATCAAAAAGGTAAATATACATATATATATATATATATATATATAAAAACTTTTAGAGATCAGTTTTAGTTGTCTCAAAAAAATTATAACCTTTACAGACAACTTTTAATTGTCTCCAAAATTAAAACTTTTAGAGTCCAATTTATGTTGTCTCAGAAATTAATTTTTTGTCTCCATAATTGCTTCTTTTGACTTGGAATGTTATTAGACTTTTAGAGACAAATTTTGGTTGTTTTAAAATCAAAACCTTTTGCAACCACATATTTTTGTCTCTAAAATCTATTTATAGTGACATATGCAAAATTTTGTCTCTAAAAGTCAATATTGACTTTTCCAGACGGGCCATTTGGACAAACTTTGCAACGGAGGAAATTAGTTGGCTAAAGTTTTTCCCAACAAATATTACACTTTTAGGGACAAAATAAATTTGTCCCAAAAAAGCTGATTTCTTGTAGTGAGGGGTATTTTGCTAGAACAAGAGGGTATGATGTAGAACAAGTAGCTGACGATTTCTTAGAACAATTGGATCGACAAAAGGCAAGAAAGAAACCAATTTGAGAACAATAGTGACACTTTTGGGATGAGTTCAGAATTGTCTCAAATTTGGTAGTCTGATCGGAAACGGCGTTTAAATCGAAATCATTTCCATTCTCAGCAATGATGAATGGTAGATTTTAGCCAAATTCCTTCGTTTAGGCATTCAAATTAGCGATTTTGCCGTTTTAGGAAAGTTTCGTTTTGGGAATAACTTTATTTTGGGAAGTCCGTTTTTAACGCTGTCTGTTTTGGCCCGTTTCTATTGTTTCCTAGTATGCAGATTTGGACTTAACTCATATTTTCTATTTTTGGTAATTTTCTGTTTATTTTCGTATCTAGTAAGGAATTATCTTAATTCTTTATTTCTTTATTTAATTAGGGTTCAGTTTATTATAAATACGCATGTATGCCTTAAGACAAATGATCTTTGATGTAATATAATTCAATTCTTGATTTTTTCTTTCTTTCTTGTAGATTTAAGGATTTTGTTTATCTATCAGAATGATATCTAATCTTGTGTGATTTGTTTTGCTGTATCAGGGTAGACTGGTAAATTGGCATGAATGTAACTGTTGAGCAGGTAGCTTTATGCCAAAAAAACAAAAAGAAAAAAAAAATCAAAACAAAACAAAAAATTGGATAGGGGGTGTAAATCAGTTTGATACATTCGCCTGAGTGTCCGAGGTGAAAAACCGAAAACACACGCGGAGGAGGTACCATTTCCCTTTCGGTTAGCAACCGGTAAAGTGGAGTTATTGGTAATGCTTGTTGAGCCTACTTGCAAACACTAACCTAGGGATTACCTGAGTCATATTAACCACCCCTATTGATTAAAATTGGAAGTTTCGGAAATTGTTGAGATTGTAAACTTTTATTGAAAAATAATGATCTTCAAGAGGAGCATAAAAATGATTTTTTTTTTAAAAAATGGCATGGCATGGTATTTGACATTTGCATCTTTCATTGAGAGTTTGCATAACTATATATACTTTGTAAGAAATTCTTTACTGGGCTTTATGCTCACCCCTATGAGATTTTGCTGCAGGAAAGGACGTGGTGATTCTGCCAGATTAAGGCCGTGGATAATTTGTGAAGAGTACATAGCTCTATTTTGTTGTGATTAAATTGCTAGCCAAGGGCTATTTTTGTATGGGTCCGAGAGACCACTTTTGTGTAACTGGGCTTAAGCCTTGGAAGTTGTTGCCCGTGAGGACATTTTATTTATCTCGAGACTTGACGCTCTACATGCTATAGATTCATGTATTTTTAAATCATTGAATATATAATTTGCATGTGGAACCTTTGTATAAACTTTGGAGATTTATGATGCAAAGGATGGAGGATGGTTGTATTTAATTAATGAATGTGGCTTAATGTATTATTCATGTTGGGATTATTTTTGGGGCGTGACAAAAGGAGAGAACAAGCTAAGAAATGGAATACTTTTCTTTGTCCAGAGATGGATTCAACATTAGTAAATGCTCTTAAAAGTGGAAGAACTTGGTTGGTTAGTCGTTCAAGTGATCATGTTTTTGAGGTTCAATCTCGGCCATCGGTTAGCGTTGGCCTCTTGAATAGAACTTGCTCATGTTACCAATGGCAATTGAATGGATTTCTTTGTGCTCACGCGGCAACCACTATCCAAAAGAGCAGAGGTGATTTGTATGCACATGTGGAACCATTTTATTACACTAGCAAGTTCAAAGCTTGCTATGCTGAGTCTGTTTATCCAATACCCACTATTGAGAAACCTCTTGTAGCTATGGATGAACTTGTTGTCCTTCCTCCAATTTGTAAGAAGCCATCTGGTAGGCCAAGGAAGAATAGGATTCCATCTAGGGGTGAGAAGATAAGACGAGTACAGTGTGGTAGATATGAGAAGTACAGTCATAATAGGAAGACTTGTAAGAAGACATTGCCATGAGAAACATTATTGATTTTGTAATAGAAGTATGAAAACAATGCAGTTCTTCTACAATAAATAGTCCATAGCAATAATAGTATAGTCTTTTAGACTAGATTTGTAAGGAGACATTGCAATAAAAGACATTTTTACTATGTTCTTGAATGGTTGTCTGTTCAAATTTTTGATTTGCTTTGTTGTTGAGTTTGACATTTTAATATATTTTTTTAATGTGGTTGAATAAGTTTCATATAAATGAACTTATAATGGAGTTTGTTCAGTAGGTGTGAATGTTTGAAATGGCTGTGCTCAGCCTGTGCTTTCAAAGTAAAATTTTTTGGTATTTCAGAGTAAACTTTTACTTTATTGCAGAGTAAAATTTTACTTTTTCCAGAGTCAAACATTACCTTCATTCACATGAAAGTAAAACTTTACTACCTTTCAAAATAAAAATTTACTATGTTGTTGAATGGTTCTCTATGGGTGTGATGAGTCTGTGGTTTCACAGTAAAATATTACTTTATTTCAGAATAAAATGTTACTTTTAGATTAAAATTTTACATTATTTCAAAGTAAAATTTTACTTTTATAGAGGGTAAAATTTTACATTTATGCAGACTAACATTTTACTTTTAGATTCAGAGTCTAACATTTTATTTTTAGATTCAGAGTTTAACATTTTACTCGTTTTTTAGAGTAAAATTTTATTTTTATACAGAGTAAAATTTTACTTTTAGATTTAAAGTGTAACATTTTACTCGTTTTTCAGAGTAAAATTTTACTTTTAGTTTCAAAGTGTAACATTTTACTCTTATTTCAGAGTAGATTTTACTTTTATACAGAGTAAAATTTTAATTTTAGATTCAGAGTGTAACATTTTATTCTTATTTCAAAGTAAAATTTTACTTTTATGCAGCGTAAAATTTTCCTTTTAGATTCAGAGTGTAATAATTTACTCATATTTCATATTTCAGAGTAAAGTAAAATTTTACTTTTATGCAGAGTAAAATTTTACTTTATTTCAGACAATATGTTAGCCCCTTAGAAAAATATTTCCAACCTGCACCAAAATTTACCACAATACACAAACTCCTCTGATGATCATCATGCAATCTTTGTGCAAAAATAATCTAACAACACAATTACATATATCATCAAACATACACAAGTATAACATGTATCATTGTATTCTATCTATAACAACGTTAATTCCTAGTCAAAACAATATCCTTCTATCATAATGTATTAATCACCAAACTATAGTAAAATTTACTAGAACAATAGACATAGCATGTACTATCTAATACTCTTTTAGTATTCTTTCACTTACAATTACTTTTTCACCATTTTTTCATTTACAAAATCCAAAATTACATACATCATTCACAGTAGTTCTCCCAAAAGTTGTCCACATTGTCGTCCTTGAGGTCTTAGCTCTAGCCCATTTTTTTTTTTTTTGAGGTTGTATTATTCCTCAGTCCATGCTTTTGGATAATCATTCAAAAATTGATGCACTATTGACATGTGGAAATTATTAATTTCATCCTCTTCTATAGAATTTGTAATAGGCTTATCTCTTATGATTTGGTGCATGATATGACACACAATAATTCCGCAATCAACACTATTAATAAGAATCAAGATCTTGTTAGATTTAGTCAAATTTGAAAACTACCAATTCAAGCATGTAGTAGTAGCGTGAAATACTTACGATGTTGGGCGTTGTTGTGGACTATCTTTCACCGAAACCAAGTTTGCAAACTTTCGTCTATCTCTCTTCGTTTTGTTGGCC